ATATATATATATATATATATATATTACATGGACTTCAAATTAGATTATTTTATATTATTATCTAAATGACAGATACTTATGTAGATGTATCGTCATCATTAAGTGTAATGTATGAGTTTAGTAGATATTAGTTTTAACCGAGTTTTTTAAAATTACAATGAAATTTTTTCAGTAATTCATTCATAAACGGCTACGTACCTTTTCTCTTTTTTTGAATATTGATGTTGCATTACATCTAGGAAATCTCAGTCGTGTAATTTGATATGAGAAATGGCTGTTTATTATATCAAATCTTGTTGACACCTAAGAAATACGGATAGCAAGTAGTTGATAAACGAAGCTTTATTTGTGAAGAATGGTTCTTAATGAAATTTTACGCGAGTATTTTTTAGTCATGAAAATATTAAATCGTCAGGCTAGAATCTCTTGTTTTCCTTTGTATTTTTCTCGTCTGAATTTTTTTTCGAAATAAGACATACACTGTTTTCCTTTGACAGCCAATGTGATTCGTTCCTAAGTTTGAATTTTTGAAGATCGAATGTCCATCGAGTCTTCTTTCGGTAGTCAATGTTGTTAGTTTCTGCATTGCATTAATAATTATTCTGCTTATTGGGAATAATACATTTTCTATGTATAAAATTAATTAATAGTTTACTTCCAGAATTGTATTGCAATAAAAAATTTGAGATTTCAAGCAGCAGGCATGATAGTTTTAAGTAATTTAAGTAATTTCACAAACACAGAAAGAAACAATTACAAACATATTCTTAAATAATCATAATTTAATATGTATTAAAACAATTTGAAAATACAATTCGGCTATATAGAATGTTGTTTCTTATCACGAGATTTGTTTAAAAATTCTATGTTACAAAATAAGAATATTAATAAATTTATTTTAATTACCAAAAAGTTTTTAGTGCTATTATATGAGACAATTTTAATAATAATATTGTAAAAGCTGAAACTTTATTAAACGACCTTTATCAAAAGACGTTAAATGTAAAATTACTTCAATGAAACATAACGAAGAGAAATAAATATACATACAATATAGATTGGTTGTCTTTTTCCACTGCGATATCGTCGAATTAATAAATCGTCAAAATAATAAAAATGCTATTTATTATTCATATTTTTTATTATACAATAGATATATATTGGATATTATATACAATCTTAATACATTATATTTCAAAAATAATCATTGAATTTTAGAACTGTTTCTCTCTTTTCCATCTACAGAAATTACTCCTTTTGGCCATCATCTTCTTTGCAGAATTCTTTTATGCTGTAATTATAACAAGTATTACTGCCAATAAAATAATTGGAAATTTATTTTACTAATATCATATTTTATAAAGATAAAAATAAATGAAAGAATTATGTTATTAGAATTATATTTGTTTCAATTATTAATTATAGATAAACATAAATAGTAAACATAAAGATGAGTCAAAGTATTACAGACTGATACTCTAAGAACTATTAAATAAAAATAAACAATTTTCTCTCTCAAGTAGTCAATTTTCTTATCACACAGAGACATTTTAAATATATTAAAATTGAATTGCCAAAATCTTGGATGAACGTAATTAAAAAATTTCAAATATTCTATTTATGTCCTGGATGAAGAACTTGCAATGTTAAACATTACACTTACTGTTAGGTATATTTAAACAGATTGTAAAGCATCACAAAGATTCAAAACTTCGCCTTCGTGCGTAAGCCCCCAAACAGGCGAAGAATCCGATAATCGCTATAGTTAACCCTAAAATCAATGCTAGAGTATCACCGAAATCAAAATTGGAAGCCATTGCGACATCAAAAATGCCGAATATGACGAGTATAAAATATAACCACATTTTTCTCGTAAATAATAACTGCAGAAATATATTATATATATGTATATAAATTGCAAGATTGATAGCTTTTGGATTGTTTTCTTGCACTGTCGTTTGTGCGTTGTAATTAATATAACTCGGTATCTCCTTTCAAATTAAGTAAGTTCGTCATCAGATGGAATTAAATAGTTGCGTGTCAAATCATGTTCTAACGTTTTATGTTTCATCACCAACAATTACGTCTGTCGGTCTATTTAGTACTATGTAAATACGAACATGGCGGCCAGACTTAACAACATCGATTAATTATCGAGTAGTCGCATGCGTGGAGAATTTCTCCATTCCTACAATTTGGATCTGTTCGCGTTTATAGCACTTTTTGCACTCAGCATCTTCGCTTTCTCTCTCTTCAACGCCCGAATATATATTTATCTCGTTTTAAATGCATTTTTGGGGAGCAACAGACCCTTTACCGTTTGTCACTAGGACAACTAGTACAATACTGCAATTAATGCAAATCAATTCACATATTTTCAGTTAAGAAATAATTTAATCCTTTTAAAGTTGTCCAGATAAAAGGATTAAATTATTTAATGAAGTTTACATCTTCTCTCAGAACTTCTCATACAAGTGAATTTTGAAATATTCTGAAATCTTAAAAATCTTACGATATTTCATAATTAACATATATGACTAATTCTGAGAAAAGATGTAGATTTTCTGAAAAATGTTCCAGTTCGTATAAAAAAATGTGAGAAAGTTATAAAATTAGAGAAATTCTAAAAAATTATATGAAAAATTCTGAGAAAAATTTTCACCAGGGTGGAAATATAGAAACCGAATTGCGTAATTTTGCACTAGTTTTCCTAGTATAAAACGATTTAGTAATTTACTAGATCGAGCGTATACTCACATTGAGAAATCGCATCACATATGTTGGCACGCCGCGAAGATGGCTATATTGGTTATACTTCAGCTGTTGTCAATAAAAAACTAACCTCATAAGCAGTCTTATATTAAGACGTAAATTACGTAAAAAACAAGTCTCTTGGAAAGCTAAGCAGTGAATCGAAAGAATGGCCGGTTCGTCGGCAAACGTAACGGTGTCGAGCATCTTGAAGAACAAGAGCTCGTTCGACGATGAACCGCGGAAGAAGAGCAGAGAAGACTGGCGAAAAGCAAAGGAACTTGAAGAAGCGAGGAAGGCTGGTACAGCCCCCGCGGCCGTCGACGAGGAGGGTAAAGATATCAATCCGCATATTCCGCAGTACATCAGCGCGACACCATGGTACTTCGGTTCTCAGGGCCCTACTCTGAAGCATCAGAGACCACAACCTGAGAAACAGAAGCAATACAGTTCGATAGACGATTGGTACAATCGCGGGGTAGATATCTCGCGAACGGCTATCAAGTATCGTAAGGGTGCTTGCGAGAATTGTGGCGCGATGACTCACAAGAGGAAGGACTGTATGGAGAGACCACGTAAGGTTGGTGCAAAGTATACTAATTTCAAGATAGCGCCAGATGAATTTACTCAACCCGAGTTGTCTATGGACTATGATGGTAAGAGAGACAGATGGGCCGGTTACGACCCTTCCGAGCACAGAGCGATTGTCGAAGAGTATCAAAAGATAGAAGAAGCCAAGAGGCAGATGCGTGCCGAGAAACTCAATGCAGAAGAAGAAAATGACGAGCAAGACTCGGACAAGGACGAAGATAAATATGTAGACGAAGTGGACATGCCTGGTACAAAAGTTGATTCCAAGCAGCGCATTACTGTGAGGAATCTCCGGATTCGAGAGGACACGGCCAAGTATCTGCGCAATTTAGATCCAAACTCCGCGTATTATGATCCAAAGACCAGATCTATGCGTGACAATCCTTATGCAGGTACAGAACGTGAAGTGGATTTCAAAGGTGAAAACTCAGTTCGTTTCTCAGGAGACACGCAGCAGCATGCTAATGCACAATTGTTTGCTTGGGAAGCGCATGAAAAAGGAGTCGATGTACATTTATTGGCTGAGCCTACGAAATTAGAACTATTGAAGCAGGAATATGATAAGAAACGCGACGAGTTGAAAGATAAAGCACGTGACGGTGTCATCGAGCGTTATGGAGGTGAAGAGCATCTTCAAGCACCACCGAAGGCTCTATTATTAGCACAGACTGAACACTACGTTGAATATTCGAGGTACGGTAAAATAATCAAAGGACAAGACAGACAAGTGATAAGATCTAAATATGAAGAGGACGTTTATCCAAATAATCACACATCGATCTGGGGTTCCTATTGGCAAGATGGAAAATGGGCTTACAAGTGCTGTCATTCCTTCATAAAAAATTCATATTGCACCGGAGAATCAGGGAAAAAAGCAGCGGAAGCAGTGAGCAACAGCATACCAGATAAAATACCATCTATGGAAGAAATAGGACTAGATAAATCAAATACAATGGATGACAATCATTCCCTCAATAGTGAATCTTCGTCTGAGGATGATATGAAAAATAGAACGGAATTGCAGAGTAAAGCGGCTAAACGAAAATTGAAAAAACAGAAACGAAAAGAAAATCGTAAGAATAAAAAACGTAATAATGCAGAAGCTGAAGACAGATTGAAAGAAGCGCTGAGAAAGGAAGAGGAAAATGCGAAGCAAGCAGACAGGATGTTGAAAATAGACGAGAGGAAACGTCCGTACAATAGCATGTACGAGACAAAGGAATTGACAGCTGAAGAGATAGAAGCATATCAAATGAAACGTAAACGCGATGAAGATCCAATGGTCCATTTTCTTTAAAAATAATGTTTTACAAAACAGGACATTGCTATTGTATATATGTTTATGTGTAAAGCTTGTAATATTTATCTTATATTATTTTACGAAAATACTAAAAGGTACTTTAATGATACTAATTATATATATTAATTCAACAATTGCTTACAATTTTTTATTATATAATTCATTGTTCCTAATCTAATCTTTCCATATTCAAATCTTTCTAAGAAAATTAATAATTTTATTTTTCATGTCAATAGATATCATTCATTAAGTTAATTGGCCATTTCAGTATGGAGTTATGTTCATTTCTATTAATGTAGATTAATTAATCTCTCACTTTCACTTGTTTCTGCATACTGGACGTGGAAATGTTTGTCACGCGGCAAAATGTGACGCGATAATCAATGAACATGTAGGAGCTGTATATTGGCTACACGTCACAATTTGCCGCACGGTAAGTGGCTAGACATTTATACTGTTCGGAAATGTACTCGATCACAATCTTTCCATTCTTTAGAGGAATAGCTATGATTGGCTGGAGTTATAATATCGATGTTATGAGTTTATAACTCCAGCGTAAATCGATTTGTATATGTATACGAACAATTAATTGGCTACTACTCCAACTTCATTGCGCGACAAACAATTTCGTGTCCAGTGTGCATAAATTAAACTGAGATTAATAATTAATCTAAATAAGTATCAGTCGTTTAATATTAATCGGAGTTATTCGTTAAAATTTGATCAGAGTCGGTCTTAAATTCACAGAAAAAAATATGAATTTATATAAAACTTTGCATTTCCGCGCCTCAGGAAAAAAAGTCATAGAATTATCGCTCAGAGGGCATTGCGTGCGCTGGAGTATCTGAAATATATGATAGTTCGTCGACTTCAGATAATATTAAATCGATGACCAAGAGAAAAGCGCTAGACTGCCATATTAGAAGCAGACCGTGACTTTAGACATCAAATGTCTTTTTTCCCTGAGGCTTTATTCCCATGATCCACGATATGATGTTTTGCCGTGTTGTATTTTCGTGCCGATGATAAGTGTACAGTTTGTGGGTATTCTGTACCCAGCATGTCGTTCTGTGCGTTTTACGCGTCCGCTGTACATTCCTTTTAACTCGAACTCCGAAAATGAAATCTTTTTCTTAATTTAACTAGAAAACCGCGTGTGAGTTAATTGCGCTGCTAGCGTGTCGCATAACGCGCCGAAAGGAAGAAGAAAAGCAGAAGAGAAAAGGAAGGAGTATGTTTTTTGTTCGGAAGTTACGAGACTGGCAATGATTCGACGTTGAAGATGACATAAATCTACGCTTATTTCTGTATAAAGGTGGAAGAGGGAAAACAAAAGAGAGAGATACGAGAGAAAGAGAGGGAAAGAGAAAGAGAGAGAGAGAGAAAGAGAGGAAGAGAGAGAAAGGAAGAGATGTGTCGGCGGATAAATTACTACAATTTGCTTAATAGCTAATAGACTCAAAATTACTGGTATGCTTTTACGATTCACTCACCATGTCCGTATATGCGACGATACTGCCTCTCATCTTCCTGGGATTATTAGGTAATGTGTGTGTGTGTGTGCGTGTGTGTGTGTGTGTGTGTGTGTGTGTGGGGTTGTATGTGTGTATGTGTGGTGTTTTGTGTATGTGTGTGGTATGTGTGTATGTGGTGTGGTGTGTGTGTGTGTGTGTGTGTGTGTGTGTGTGTGTGTATATATAGAGAGAGAGTAATATTTTGTTTAAAATTTGTATTTTTTGTTTTTCAAAATCTTATTCTCGGAAGATTTAAAGAACTTTTTCAGAGAGTAAGATAAAGAAGAAAATTTTAGGATGATTTTGATTAAACTCAGATTAACTTAATCATTATTTAATTCAAAATAGCAAAATTGCTTGCTGCATAATTTTTAACTATATAATTTGTATCTCTAAACTTTTTCTTTATATATATTTCTTTATAAAACAATGAAATGATATAAAACAATGAAGATTAATTATCTATTCATATTGACAAAATAATATTGTTTGACAAGGTAAAAAAAAACCAATTAAGTTCAGAATTCAGTCCAAGTTATTTTTATACATTGTTACTGATTACATTCAAGAATGCGCGTACCAGCTTCTTTAATTTAAATCAATTCAAATTGGAATAATTGCAATAATTTTGTAATTTTGCATTAGATTAGTATGTTTATAAATAATTATGCTGCTGTCTGTCATATATACTTGCCATTTATTCTTCAATTCTCTCTGTGAATTTAAAAGTTATCCAACAATTTGTTTCTATGTTCAGTTACATTACTGTTTTTGCTTTATAAATTGTAGACTGATGAATAATAGAAAACAGTTTGCAAACAATTACAGTAGTAGTTTGAGATTTTTTTTCTGACTACTCAGTTAAACAATGACCAAGTCCTATATGCTAAACTTTGTGCAAGTTTGGTATATAGACTAAATATAATAGCAGCTATAGCAGCTTTATACATATATCTGTATCTTATAAGTGTTAAGTTGTAAATTCGTTTATGTGTGAAGACAAACTCTATCCTCGTTACATTTTGACAGAGAAGATATAATATGATATATTTTAAATAAATTAGATGATTGAAAAGAGCAATTAATTAAAAATATTAATTGCAGATTCTGTAATTAATACTTTTAATTAATTGCTCTTTTCAATCATTTAATTTAAAATATAATCTAAAATATATCCTTTTTAGATAAACAAAACATATAATTTATTAATTAATATAATTAATTAATATAATTTATTAATTAATGTTAAATACAAAAATAATAACATTAATAAAAAATAATAATGTTAAAAATAAAAATTTTAATCTATTATTTTAGGAATTACGTCTGCAAAAGATATTAAAGGTTCAGTCTTTTGTGAATTTTACAATGACACAATGTGTGCAGAGAACGAACAAGAATGTTCAGGAAGAGAAGAATGTATCCTACATGATCCAGATAAACGTAATCATTGCTATGTACTGTGGACACTGAACACCACTACTAAAGAAACAATAATTAAATTAAAGGTTGGTTATTTATCTGGTTAATATTATTTACAATATTCCATAAGTTTGGGAACATTCTACGTTTTACAGGAAAGTCATTATATGACAGCGATCTATATGTTTTTGATTTAAATATTTCGTAAGACATCGAAATGACGATAAATATTTATCTAAAACACTATAAGCTTGTACGTGTTGAAAATATATGAGACAATTATTTCACAGCACCGAAACGCTCAAGTTTGAATTTTGCGCTTT